ACAAAAAAAAAACCATAGATTTAGCTACTCCGTTCGCTGATGATGACAGCCTTGCTGTTAAAACTTGTTCGATATTTTAATATATTATTCTGGTTTATTGGTATTTTTGTTTTACTTTTGCCAGGTTTCTAAGTAAAATTACTAAGAAGGCGCTGTCCAACAAGATCTCAATAAAACATTCTTTTTAATTGTAAAGATTCCGAAAAAGGTTTTTAATACATTTTAAATAAAACTCTTTCTTTCAAATTTGGACATTGAGACTGCTATAGCTGTACCGAAGTACAAAAAATGGGGTATATACCAAATTACCTCGGGATTAAAGTACACACTTTAGCAAATTTATAAAAAACAAAAATTTAAAGTGGGAGTAGCTCAGGCGCGGTGGTAAATGCTAAAACTAAGATAAGCATTTTTGCAATTTATGTTTTTTAGTCTCAATTACAAATTACAATCGGTTATTGGTTTTGGGATGAAAGCCCTGTATACTCGTATACAGCTATACATTCACTATAGATGATAGTATAAGATATTTAATTACTCAATGGTATAAGAGTAGAATAAAGGATTGCGCTACATTCAAGTTTGCTATTCTACGAATATTATGAAATCCAAATTTTAAACGATATAAACGCAAGCAAACATTCAGATTTAATCCACACTTTAACGTTGTTAGCCCCAAAGGATATCAAATAACTTAAAGAGGAACGTACTATCTAAATGCAACTACGAGTATGTTTCAACGGCAATTTGTACATCAAATACAAACGACACATTTTCCTAGACCTGTCCGATTTACTTGCGGTAACTTAGTACCCAGGACAGGGGCGGACTGGGTACTTACGGGCCAGGTGGAATTGCATAGGTTACGGGCCATTAAACATTTTTTTGCTTCATTTTAGTACTCCTTTTTCGGAAATCAATTACAATACAGTTTTTTTTTAAATTGCAGCTGATAATTAAAAGTACCAAAATATACAATCCAAACGAGGTGCGTCGCCTATCATTGTATTTCAGCACTTTCATACTACGACAAAAAATGATAAATTCATTGTAAAACACTACAATTAAAACAGAATTTTTAAATTTTTTAACAACCTAACATCAACCCCAATTAGAGAAACGTGTTAATAATTTATTAATAGTGCAAGAAACTAAATACAGCACATACTTATAAATTTCCAACGGGCCATTATGACGTACAGGCCAGGTGGAAATCGCCACCCGCCCCCCCGGGCCAGTCCGCCCCTGACCCAGGATACAGTACGCGTTGATTACGTCCGAATAAGTGCCAACTATTTACATGGGAATCGCGTACGCTAGCTGAAGGAACGAATCATGTCCTTTAATAAATCCTTAAATCGAGAAAAGAGAACTAATTTCTCAGTTTCAGAAGAAAGGTTTCAATCTTTGTTACCACTCAACCATAGTGTAAGTTCTATTCTTACACTATGACTCAACTCACTGAGCTTCCTTAGAGTTAGACGTTAGTTTTTTTTTTTAATATTGGCACATGAGTATCCAAATCGTATATAATATGCTTCAAATTTTGTTACGATTACGTCCAAACCGAAGTGAACATCATTCATTTTCAATTACCAACAAATCTCGAAATCGCATGTTTAGGTACTTAAACTTGAACAAGCTGGATGCAAAATTGGAAAATTTGTCAAGAGTTTAATTACGGGCACCTGTAATTTTCAGATTTTGGTATAGGGTTTATTAATCGTTGCAGTTTCTTACTATAATAGCCACCCACTAACAGACCAAGGGTTTTAATTAAACTCCCTTAGTAAACGGAAATTCGTTTAATGTTAATTTTGTTATACAATGCGATCGAAAATGAGTTGCTGTCGAGTCACCTTTGGAATTTTTGTTTACATGGGAAATTGTACTTAAATTGAACTTCCAAAGGCGACTAGACAGCAACTCATTTTTGATCCCCCGTTAGTAGGACAGTTAGTGTTAGTGGATTTATTGTTTTATATACGCCTTTTGCCATCACCAGAAACTAGATCAATGCAATACTCATGGGGTATCCGTATATCACAAAAGTTGTAGTAGTCGTAGTTTTAATTTTGTAATTTTCGTTCCGCATTTCGTATTTCTCATTGCGCTCTTTACATTTTACAACTTGCATTCATATATTGAACTTTTCATTTCGTATTCCGTAAATCCCTAGTCGGCGTAATTTCAAATTTCGTTTCTCATTGCTGTCTTCCAGTACCTACCGTAAGTCATATTTTCTGTATATTGGCACCTGACGTTCCGCACATGAAATTCACGCGATACAATATCTGCCGCAGTTCCAATTTCGACAACCCTCTTTTAACGTATAGGAATTGCGCGTAACCGATTTTAGACTAAAAAAAACCGGTGGCTCTGTGAAGATCGATTTAACAACTATGCATTTCAAAATGAACCTGATGCGCTTATAGTTTATAATTTTGATTAAAAAAATCAACCAAAAACGTGTCCATTTAGATAAGTTTAATGGAAGGTTTACTTTTGTTTTAGTATCCACCCTCGCACTCCCATCTACCCTCACTTTATTATGCACTCCCATCTAGAAAGAGGGAGAGAGAGACACGTCATTTTAAAAATCATAAGGTTCTTCTTACAAAAATTCCCGCAAAATCAAATTTGGATAGTTTGGTTGTAAATTAAGTTTTAATTACAAGACAAAAACAAAATAAATGAATTTGGGCCAAATAAAAGAACCAGTAGCTTGGATGAAATTCAATGAAATTGAAAAACTAGAGTTATCTAGGACACTCTTACAGCTAAAATACAAGAGTTCATCGACAGAATTTGGGCCATTTTACCTCTTGATTGTATAAAAAGAAAAAGAACTTGTTCATTTCAGAACTTTAGGAGCTGAGCATTAGTCAATTTTAGCACAATAAATAAATAGTAACAAATAACAAAAAAGAATTTTGTCAGGACATAAACGCAATTTCAGCACATACTCTTAGTAGGTGCATCAAGAATATATTGCTTTTGTTTGGCAAACGATTGAAAAAGATAATCGTGTGACATACCGGATTATTCAGAGGACCTTGGGGATTGGCGTGACTGCATTTAAACAAATCCTGTACGATCACAACACCGCGTTGATTGTGCAGAAAAAAACTACTAAAATGCGGAAGTGACTGATCAAAATTATGGATCTTTTCAATTAACTCTAATCTCATGAGAGTTAAACAGTCTCGTAGTGTAGGAAAGAAAATAATTGCATATTTTGAATCCACCGTCCTGTTCTGACCTATTTTTATTTCTAAAACTCAAAGAAACATTACGCCGCGGTCATCGTTTTTTAACCCCAAACGATGCCGTCCTTGCATTTCAAAATCTTGTATCGAAGGTGACTCAAGAACAATGGTAAGGATGTTTTAAAGATTAGTTTTATCGAAATTCACAATTTAAGTTTCTATGCAAATCGAATTTCGATGTCGCGGATTCCGCTTTTGTCCTGTAATTCAAATTTTACATTGCATGCTAGCAATACATTCTCCAATATCAGACAAAATTTTTTCTTGGAATTATAGAGGCGAAAATTTAGTTTGCCTTTTTACATCTTTTTCCCAGTGACACGAACTCGACCATCTCTTTTGGACCCTACAGATCATAAACTCTTTTTAGTTAATACATCAATCCAATTCTGTAACGGGTACCTAGACCTACACCCCGCCTGCATGATTTAATTTGGAAAAAAGATAACTTGCCCTTCCATTTTGATTAAATAATACAGAAAAGCATAATTATACAAAAAGCGACACCTCACAATATCAGAATTTTGCCACCTTCTCTCCCTATCAGCACTGATTTACAATCCTATGACTTTTAATATTCCATTTTAATAAATTCTCGGCAGCGATTCGTTCAGTTTCGGCTTAAATCTAAATCAAAATTAGCAATATGCTATAATTTATTACAGTTAAGTTGGAATTTAATTATCCTTTCTCCGACTCGCTTGGGAAAGGAAGACGAATCTCTCAGTTTTGTTGTTTCTTTTGCATATTACGCCATAATCGCAATTTAAAAACTTGACTCCCTAGAGGCGTTGTTATACGATCGGAGAGAAATCCGTAACTACTAATATAAAAAGGAATGACATTTTCGCTCTAGTTTTCCGAAGCGAGGTTTATAATTTGACGCATTCAACTGGAAACGCCTCATAAATCATCTGTAACTTTTTTAATGTTTTTATAGTTCCAGTTGAATATAAAAAAATCATTAAATTTCAATTAGGTTTTATTCCGTATGGCAAGTGGGTGGCGTAAATGATCGTAACTGTCAAAGAAAATAGGTTCCGGTGGGAGAATGGAATGGAATTGAAATGTTGTTGTATGGAGACACATTTTATTGCAATTTATTACGTATTATACAGGGTGTTTAGCTTTTATTTGGTGAAATCAGTGCTTCCATAACCAGCAATTGCAATTGCATTGCTGTCGCTATTGATACGAGGATCGTTTGATAAGTTTCCAGTTTCGTAATGTTCAAATGATCTAACCGCGATTTAGTAAAGATAGGTTAAAAACTACATTTTCACAATCTTTTGAATGAGCTCTAGTTATAAATGGATAAAATCGAAATTCCGGAGTAGGTAACGGCTACTTAAAAAACTTAATTTTTATAGTATTTGTACATGGTCATTCGGTCATGTTACGCTCCTTTGCACGTAAAAGAGTTTTGATCATTAAAAATTCTATTATGTTTTTACGAGAATGTTAAAATCACTTTCTCAAAAACCTATTGTTAAAGGCAAATGATGGAAAATACTAATAACTGCAAAAGGAACTGTACAACCTAGCATTTCGGTTGGAAAAAAGTTTGAATATGTGCCTTCCCCCGTTTGCATAATTTGAAAGAACGCCGAATGTGGATCTCGCCTTTTGTTGTGCGTAATTTATGATGGAAAAACTGAACTGCACGATTTATCACTTGAAATTAATAGCGCCTCTGCAACGTGAATTTATTAATGTACTTTTTTGTTGCAGGTTCGAGTAATCTTGTCGGGAAATTTACACAAAGCGTAAGACGAATAGTCCAAGACGTTAAAGATGAAGGAACGGCAAGTGGTTTAACGAAGGAGGAGGTAATTGAAACGAATGAACGTTTGAGAGCCGTCAGGATACGTTTGGACGAGTCATACGATACGGCAAAAAAGGCTCTCGTTACTCTAATGGGGAAATATAACGATAGTAAAAGTGTGCATAACATTTTCCAAAGATATAACCTCTTGAAAGCGATGATAAAGGTAAGCATCTTTTATTTAGAGCTACCTCACTTTGTATATTCACTGTAATACTGCAGTACTGCACAGCCAGATATGTTAAGCATGAATTAACAAATATGTACACTCATCCGAACATCTTCTTTTACTTCATGTAATTTTATTCTTAGTGATCATTTTCCCTGTATCTATCGCAATTTCAACAGAATTAATCTACCCTACCTCCAAATTTAAATTTTTTAAATAATGGTATATGCTTTCACTATTTGACAAATATGCGCATAAGCGCACCACATGCGTGTAAGCTTGAAGATCCCAAACATTGAATTATTTCCTGGCGCAAAAAAGATTTTTTTCTTGTCTTTCGGTATCTATAGCTTTGTCTTAATAATATAGTATTGTAACGTAAATTTAATTACTTGATTTTATTTTATATACCACTAAGTATAAATTTATAACAATCTTAAAATGGAATGGAAAACACTAATTATTATTTATCCCTTACAATTTATAACATAGCGCAAGCGCGTCGAAGTTGGAACTGACTCGAAACACAATTCGATTTGCTTATATAGCAAACAACAATTTTCCTAGAATGTTCTTAAAACGCTTCGGAATGTCTTTCATGGCGCCTCGATGTCTATCGGAATTTCTGGAGTATCAACGAATCTTGTCTTTGTCAAAGAATTATTTTTCAGGGTAATAGTATATAAATTATTATCTCTCTGCAGCACTTTCTTAGTGTTCAAACAGAGGGCTATTAAAATAATGATTCAAGGCAGACTTTTTTGTAGTTATCAGTATCCGTTTCTAGAGGAATTTCCGTTCACTATATATAGCGTTTTCAGTTCAGTTCCAACTTCTATGCACTTGGGTATCTTATAAATTGTTACGTGATAAATAATAATTAGTGTTCTAAATTAATCCATTTTAAGACATATAAATTTGTTGTTAGTTAATTGTAAATAAATAAAACCACATGCATAATTAAATTTACGTTAGACTACTAACTGTTGAAAAATTCAGTCGCATTAGAACACATAAATTCCAATAATTTTTTTATGGTAGGTAACATAGACATCGAAAGAAAAACGCAATATCTAGTTAACAATGCTCTTCCTAAAAAACGAACCACTCGCAAAACAAAAAATTGTACGCCATTATGCATGAAATCGTGATGTATATCCAGACATTGAATTAAATCAATTTATAAAGCTTGCAAATTGTAGAAACGCTGAATAGAACTCCATATAAAATATGAATTGAACGTGATACCATCCTTTCAAAAAATGAGGTATTTCAATCACACTCACGTTACGCGCTCGTCGCTCGATTAAACCACTCTATTTTGTTTGAAAAGGTGTTTTGCATCGAATGTATTCAATGGAAATTCGTGTAAGATGTCGATACATCCTAACAGGGTGGTTTTAACGTATGTGTAAGATAAATGGTTACAGTCCAATTAAAATACACCACTAAATTTTAAATATTAGGGTCAGTGAGTCAGTGGGATCGTTAGCTCTTTTCATTTTCGAAGGAACGTATTCGTTGGGCAGGAGTGAAGAGGTAGGGCAATATCAAAAGCTCGGCTTCCCACTAAATCTCAACTAACCAACCGTCTCTTTTTAGCGCATTTCCACAAAAATAAAAAAAAATGCGCTATTGTGGCCACTTTGTCCGTCCGTCCGTCCGTCCGTCCGTCCGCTCGCTTTGCGACGCTACTCGTTCTTTATCTTAAGAGCTATTGTTCTACTTTTTTCGCTATTTGGTTCGTTATGGTGTCGAGTCTTGTACCAAGGAAGGAATTTTTTCTGTACCGCTTACAAAAAAAGTTATTGTAAAAAAAAACAAAAAACCGTTTTTTACATGTTCCATGATTTTACACTTTTGCCGTTTATTAACGACCCTAGAGATCGTTTATAATTTTGCATTGCTATCTGTCGCCTGCCGGTTGGTCTGTCCGTCTGTTCCTTTGTCTGTCTGTCCATCTATCTGTCCGTGTAAACGATAACTTTGTTTAGAAATGTTCGATCGCTTTTACATCTCCGTTAGTTATGAACTGAATTGCATGAAATTCAATATGGGCATAGCTTTAGCCATATAATACGCAATGCCAAAAGTGGAATCGAATCGATTCAAAATTCACAGTGCCCTTTTCGCATCTCGACCATTTATAAACCGAATTGCAAACTTTTTTTACTTATAAAAGTATTTGAATGAAATTTGATACATAGGCACTTGGAATAAAGGAAAATCAAACGCCAATTTCAAAATTTGGTTTTGCGAATGCGCAGTGCCAACTTTTTTATTTATGGAAGAATTTAAACGAAATTTGATACATAGGCACTTGGGATAAAGGAAAATCAAACGCCAAATTCAAAATTTGGTTTTGCGCATGCGCAGTGCCAACTTTTTTATTTATGGAAGAATTTAAACGAAATTTGATACATAGGCACTTGGGATAAGGGAAAATCAAACGCCAATTTCAAAATTTGGTTTTGCGCATGCGCAGTGCCAACTTTTTTATTTATGGAAGAATTTAAACCAAATTTGATACATAGGCACTTGGAATAAAGGAAAATCTAGCGCCAGTTTCAAAATTTTATTTTGCGCATGCGCAGTGCCAACTTTTTTAATCTATGGAACCATTTAAGTGAAATTTGATACTTAGGCGCTTGGAACAAAGGAAAATCTAACATTAGTTTCAAAATTTAGGTTTGCGCATGCGCAGTTTCAACTTTCTTATTTAGAAAAGCATTGAAATGAAATTCTTCTCATAAACTGAAATTGAAGTAACACGTCAAAAATGGATTGCCCATGTGCAACGCTATTTTCATATTTGTGGCCGGATTTTTACGATTTTAACAGAAGTTGCATCTTACAAATGGGAAATGAATGCAAGTGGAAATGCGCTTTATGTAAATCGTTTACGATTACTTTTTAACTTGTTCTGTCTAGTAAGCTGTATTGCCTGCCGTATTTCTTATTATTAACCTTTCACAGGCACAGGTTTGCAGCATTAATTTTTTATTTCTATGAAAACGCGTTACTCTTTCTCTTTCTGAAACAACGTACCTATTCCACTCCACTCCACGTCGTAAATACGTGGCTTATTTTAACTATGCAGGGTTATTACAAAGTATACGTGATATTCCTGATTTTTATTGAAAATATTACTGGAATGATATGTTTTAAGAGCACTTCAGTTGGTACCATTGGAAAGATAAGCTCCTATTTTATATAGTTTTGTATACGTTCGTTTGGGTATATACAGTGATTCTTATTAAGAACTAGACATAGGTCCCTATGTCTACTTTTAAATGAGAAAATCACTAGAGAGCCTAATTTTATGCAACTAAAATAGTTTCCTAAAACAAGTAAAGATGTGGCTGTCATATTAATTAATTTCAATATTGTTGCTTTAGTTTCCATATTTTGATTTTCGTCGCGTGTGCGATGTAAAGCAGATATTGTCAATTGTTGTAGTGCCGGGAAAAGTTTAAAGATCGTAAGAGATTTATTTAGATTTAGATTTATGTACGCTAGAAATCGTGAGCATCACTTGTAATAACCTAGCATGTATTACAATAGGTTAGAGATAAAAATGGATAAGTTGTTTCATTTTCTTTGGACTACCTATTGTTCAATCGAGAAATTGACTTTTTAATTTAGTCGAATAACAAGAGGTTACCCTGCTTACTAGGCTACTTACTTATATTAATTCTGAGGCAAAGTTCCGAATAATTTTGCATACAAATAATCCCTAAACATCTCATCCTAACAATCTCCCTAAGCATTAAAACAAAACCGTAATAAAATTAAGTTGATCCTTTCGACCTCTCGTATCATACTATCATCTGCAAATAAAATTGCGCTTTTCCCTATACGAACTCCTCGCGCAATCTAAGGGATTAACGAATGATCGTATGAATTCCTTGTTTCAGGAGGTAATCCGACTGGAAACTCAATACTGGACTTTGGTAGACATTCCGAAGCAGGAAAAGCAGGAAACCGTGCCGGCGTTTGTGCTTCGCGCCTGCACGATTATGGAGAAGGCGCAAAAGTCCGGCGAAGGCGTGAAAACGTCCGCAAAGCTCGCCGAGGAAGCTCAAGGGCGTCGCGAACGAATAGAGCGTCTAGAAAGTAAGTTTTAATATTGCGTTACCATAATTTTTGCTCTGGCCTGACTGAACTATTAAGGGGATGAGTCTAACCCCAATGTTGGGAGTTTGCCAAACGTTTCTCGTGTGAACGGCAAACATCGAAAACCGCTGCCGTATCGTTCCTATAATTAAAATAAATTTCCACTTATTTCTGCAATAACAATTTCACGTTTAGTTTATGCTCATGTTCGTTATTATAAATTAAAATTTCGCATTTCAAATGGAAATTTGTAACTGAGTGATGGTTAAGTATGCAGATTTCAACGATTCCACGTCACACAAGTTTATATCTGCTCGGGTTACTTTGCATTTTTAAAAACTGAAATTAAAATTTAGTTTAGCGTGATTTTGATGTGAAAATTTGAATATCATTTGCCTTTTGTGTGAATTCATTTTACACTTTCAAAAACGTACACTTGCTCAGTGTACAGTACCAATGAATAAAGCTTCTATTCTCCGAGCAGTGTATCACATTCTGACTAAACGTGTACATCATTAGCACAGATTACCCTACGAGATAATCTGTGTCATTGGCATCTATAGACACCAGACAAAAGCCCAAAGACACTTGATTAGTGCATTGCGATCCACGTATAGTCCTTTGTAGTAAAAGGGTTAAGTATCTTACATTTCTGACTATGCAATAAGTTTGTAAGACATTTCTGGTCTTAAGCTTAGTGCAGGGCTTAAGAGCCAAAATAGGTTTCAACCTTGCATTTTGTGATAACTTCATGAAACTTTCAGAGGATGTTCTAGACACCCTAAGGTTCAATTTCAGCTATGCCGCCACCCCCACAACCACGGACGGCACTTGCTATAGCGGGTTTCTTAAGCGCAAGGTAGCATTTCAATACTCGCCCATAAAATGGGTCAAAAATGTATATCCAGGGTTTGTTTTGTATTTTCTTACATCTAGGAAGGTTGAAGGGAATTGTCAAATACCCAGGGAGAATTTATTTAGGGTATTTTACGTGGTTTGCCTATTTTCAAGGCGCTTTTAACAGTGCGGACTAGGGAATGCAATCCCGCAGCAAAATCTCAATCCCGGTATTTGTGGGATTGTTAGATGTTAATCCCGCGGGATCCTGGTATTTGCGGGATCTCGCAAAGCTTTAAATAAATTGGCAAATAAGCAATTCTGTGCGGTTAACTTTTGTATTAAAATAAATCGCTAATTATCACAATATTTAACAAAAAAGTACCTTCGGCCTAACTTAGAACTCAAAAAAACCTTACCTGTAAAGCACAAAAAGTCTTCTGAAGTGCCTCAAAAATCATAGTACATTTTTAACGAAAAAAGTTTAACAATTATTTAAAAAATAATTCGCCGTTATCAGTTTTAATAACAAAGTAAACAGAGTCGTCCCCTTAGTCGACAAATTCCTCAGTCCCTCAAATCCCGCGGGATCCCGCTCCATTTATGTGCGGGATTAATCTCGCAAAAATGCTGCGGGATCCCGGTATTTCGGGATTAGAGAGCATTCCCTAGTTTCTAATCTATAACTTTTTATTGAGAAGTCTGATCGAAAAAGCACGAATTGTTTTGCATTCTACGCACTAAAATTAATCAGAAAAAGTGTTTTCCCGAGAAATTTTGGTGCAGTCGATTTTTGGTAAAAAACTGCCTTTTTTGAGGCCCTCAAAAAAAATTGTCTCAGATCGACCCGGAGAAAAATTTTTCTTATAGAATGTGGCCTGTAGAATCCATAATTTCAAACAGTTCCAAGATTGGGCTATTAGTTCAAAAGTTACAGCCCTTTGAATTTTCTTTCGAAATTGGTTTCTAGTCCATAACTTTTGATTGAGAAGTCCGATCGAAAAAGTACGATTTGTTTTGGATTCTACGCACCAAAATTAATAAGAAAAAGTGTTTTCCCGAGAAATTTTGGTGCAGTCGATTTTTGGTAAAAAAGGAAGGTTGTACACTGCCTTTTTTTGAGGCTCTCAAAGAAAATTGTCTCAGATCGACCCGGAAATTTTGGTGCAGTCGATTTTTTAAGTCTTTTTGATACCCAGATTCCTGACGGCTTTTCAAAAAACACATTGCATAACTTTAGTCTTATACCGTGTGTCCCAAGTTGAACGCACCATAAGCAAACAGAATAAATGTATTTTTTCACTAAGGATCCACGAGGCCTTTGTGTATGTGAAATTAGCGTTCAACGTACGTTATTGCGCTTGCCTGATGCTAGAATGAGGTTGGAGTAGTACGCTGAATGCTAATTTCAAAGGCCACCTTCGTGAAAAAATGCATCGCCGTTTCCTGAGACACTCTGTATGTATTGTTTGCTGTATTTTTTATCGTCGTCTTCTTTTTCAGATATGACTACGTCACAAATCGATACGGAAAATACTCAAATGACTAACGATCTTTACCGACTTTTAAAGAAATATACTGGATTAAGAAACCTCATTCGAGAATTGAAGGTAGGAAAATATTTTATTTTATACTCATCGTACTGTCATATTGCGCTCGCATAGAATTATGTTCTTTGCTTTTTATCTATCTTTTTGTTTGTTCGTTTTCTATCGAAAAACAGATTGCTGTAAAGCAAGCACGTTGTAAAGGTTACTGTTTATTGTAATTCGCATATATTTTTTTGTTTTCTGAGTAATGCCGCTTCTTAATCAAGCACGGAATCGTTTCCATGTGAATCATCATTACTTACAGGAAACTAATTTGAATTACTTTCACTTTCAGTCAGACTATATGAACTCAAAGCTCTATCCCATTGTACCTCGTTACACCATGTTAAAAGATATGATCAAAGACATCATGCTTCATCCCGACTACATGGAGGTTTGCCATGAGGTGGATGCATAGCCCAGGTCGTTCTCTTAGGATTAGTTTAACAATTTTGTTTCGTTTCACGTAGTGAAATGTATAGAGAAATTTATTTATTTGGAAATTAAGGAATGCACTAATTTCCAAATTGTTGTTAACGTAAAAAGGGACAAATACAGACTGCAATTTTGTGCCAAGTAAGGGTGTTGTTATAATAAACAATAATAATAATCTGAGATGTGTCAGATTATTTTTAGTAGATTAATAACAAACACATTCACTGCCGTCTTTTAAACTTCATTTAACGTAGCGACGGTCAAAAGTGCACGAAATTTTCTATCTACGTAATACAATTTTAAATATACGAGGGTACTACCAGGGACAAATTGTTCAACATACACATGGCTCGAGCGGAAAACTGTGGAGTTACTGTGTTTTACGGCCTATTCTGTTTAATCAGTCATCTCTGTACGAAAATTACTTTTTGATTCAAACGAATGTTCATAAATCGTAATATCAATGTTAGGTGAAAGGATCTATGGAATACATTTATTTTTAACGTTATTATGGACTATAAAAGTCTGTAATTTGACATAAATACTTGCCCTCTAACAACTCCTCTGAATTATAAGAACCCCATCGAAAATTTTAAATTAAGATTTGAAGCTAACAATGTCACATTTACTATTTAGTATATTTTCATTTTTAACATTTAATTTAAAACTTACACTAAATAGTAAACTCCTTCTACATCAATTTTGTTATGGATTCCTTTTTTCAGTTACGATTCCACCAAATACAAAAAGCTGCATATTGCAAAACAATGAATTAAAATTCTCTTCAAATAAGGTACGACACGAACCTCATTTTAATTCAAAATTTGTGGAGAGGGTGCTTACAAATCAAAAAGAGTGTTTGAGGGAGGTATTCTTTTTATAATATAAACGGTGAAATTATGAATAAAAACCTACCTGTTTCAGGTTTATTCCAATAATGCATAGTACGGGTAAAAAATGATTTATTATAGTATAGTTATGATGCTCATGTTCATAACTTAATATTATAGTTTATCTGATAGTATTTCATCACTCTACTCAATAACTAAAATACCAGTGGATTAAACGCAAGTGATGGCCACGAAATTCTGCCATCATCAATAATAATTAACATATTCTATATACTGGCTGCCCATTATATATGGAATATAGTATATATCTCGGTAAATATCGAATGTATACATTTTTATTTCAGAAAACAAATGAGTAATGAAAAACAATTGATTTTTTTAAATGGCAGTGCGCCTTTTCATTAAGCTCATTTAATAGAGATTTTTTTCTCTTTTCGTAGGTGTAACAACAAAAACTTATTACAATCACATCAATAACGATGATATCCTACATCAAAATAAAACAAATGAATGTGTACGTTTGTTACCATTTTATTGCAAATTTCATTTTGTCTTCAAGGTTTAATAAGAAACATACACGTTCATTTATTTTATTTTGATGTAGGATATCTGGATTAATATTATTCATCAAATTATAATAAATTTTTTTGACAAATTTTCTTGAATAAGGGCACTAACTTGTTATATCATCGAAAAAATTTAATTGTTTTTCGTTACTCTTTTGTTTTCTGAAATAAAAACAACTGAATGCTGCTTTATTATGGAAAAAAAATGTTAAATAACTTTCATACAGAAAAATGTTGTATACATTGGATATTTACCGCGATAATACTATATTCCATACATAATGGGCACCCTGTATAGGTACAATGCAGTTGTAATGCATAATGCCCTTTCACCCGAGTTGAAACGCTTACTCTTAAAATTATTTAAATATCGTATGGCATCTTTAATGTTAGACCATTAACTTGCATAAAGCAAATAAGGCATCAATGCTTATCGGGTAACACTAGTCGGATTATACATTTTGTCAGTTATGATTTCTTTCGCAGCAATTTTGAAGATACGTGGTAGAGCGAAGAGCAGTCCTTGAGTATTGCTCTTCAACCGAAATTCTCCTTTCGGGTTGCAGTCTATTGCACATACGTGCATCTTCCTTGATATTTAAATTGAAATTGTGGATAGGTACCTAATTGAATTTGTGAACTGCTGCATCACCCAATAAAATATTATTATTATTATATATTTGATACTGCTTCAATTTACCACGAAAATTATCGCCCTGAAACCAATGGCAATGGTCTTGAGATAATTGCCATGCACATTCGAATGAAGATTTTAAACAAAGTCACGGACGCACAAAATGTTATTACTTTTGTTCGACATTTTTAGAATGTTTAGATGGAACTAGTAATAATGTGTTAAACTTAATTTGCTTTATGTTTACAGAGAGTAGGTAGTTAACGTCATATACGCACAATGGATCTGTCACAACAGGTTCAACGGTTCAACTCTTTATTACTTTAATATTTGGTACCTATTAGTGCTGTGAGCCCAAGTTGTTGTTATAAAAATATATGAACCATTCTTTACTAGCAACCATATTGTGAAGCTTTTTTAAAGACGTACCTAACTGTTGGGGGTTTGTTCGGTATGAAAATCAGCATCTTTTGCGCGATGAAATTACCGTAAGTTTTGCTACAACTGTAATGACGTGTGTCTATTCATAACAAAAGTAAGGTACATCTACAAATACATTTCTAAAAATCCACCATGCATTCGGATGTTGTCTACCAAATCTGATCTGACACCATACTTTATCTGCACTGGGATAAACCTTTACAGCAAACCAAATCGATCAATATAATACGCGTTGCGTTTTGAAATCCATCATAAAAACCCTAGAAGTGCGACTAGTGGATTTATAGAGATTTCCGGCATTGCTCAGATTAGATTTGAGCTATTAACGCCGCGCTGTGGCGAGGAGCTTTTTATGTACGAAGTATTAATATTGATTTCTGCGCTACCTATAAGGTGAAACTTTCGGTTTTCTTTTCAATAAAACTTCTTTCAAATTTTCTGAAATATTGATGACTGTGTCGCACGTAAAAACTCAAACTAAAATCAAATTACTATTTGAACGTTTCACTCATCAACAAAGAATTTTTTGAGTAATTTGGGCTCGAATCGAAATTTTTGATCGTAATTCAAGCTATTCTTAAAATTTATGTCGTACATTATCCATAATTTAAATTCTGTGCACGTTTAAAATGCTACACAAGAATGAGGCTGTACGTCGTTTATACCTATAGCTACTATCTTTCTACCGCGACTATACAATAAAGAAAATGTAGTGAAACGGAAAACCTTATGCTTTATCACCCATTAACTTCTCCATTCAGTTTCATGGCCTTTGTTTCTCGAGCGATTATCTTTGGTGGCCCTTCCAAACTTATACTACCGATTTTGCTAATACGCTCGTTTATAAATAATCGAACGATATACTGATGCGTGTAAAGTTTGCATTTGCATCAAATGTAGTCCCAGACAAACTTTTAGTTTAAAATAAACGGATTATTTACTTTTTGAAAATCAAAAATTGTAAGCAAAATGTGAGAAATGCGTATAAGAGGGGTTACATATAGTCCAAGATTCACATTCCCTTAACGTATTCTCAAAAATTTAAAGAAAATGTCATAATCCATCTTATGCTAAGCAGCTAAGCTTTAATTGTAAAAGTGTTTATAATATATGTTACGGATAAAGTGTTTACTACTTCGCTAGTTATTTGGTACCTAGCTAGATAGTATGTAAACTATCCAAATGTATGGTTATTTTGATGGGAAATCATCGTTTCACTAAAATAGCTACGAATATTGGTTGGTTTGTATACTATCCAGTTAGTCTACAAAGTATACAAGATTTATCGCCAAAGTGCAAACGACAAGTCTTCAGTTGTTTTGTAATTATTTTGAAGAGAAGGACGTTTTTCACAAAATTGCAGAAATTCGTTTTTCACGTTTAGCTTCAAATATTTCAAAATTAAGTCTTCTAAACTACTACTAAACACTACTAGAATGTATTAATAATACGTAATTAGAGAATAAAGGACTAATTTTAATTAGGGTGGTAATTAGGGGGTTGCTTGTGTTAATTTTTTCACTGAAAAAAGTACGGATCTACCTAATTTTCATTGTAACTCACCTAATTTTTATGCTAGTTTGTTTTTAAAAAAAAGAAGAAAAGTTTTTTTTAAATAGTACATTATTATGTATCATGTTTTATAAACGACGCTTTAGACACAAATTTATGTTAAACACGAGCGTAGCGGATGTTTAATAACGAGTATCTAGAGAAGTTGATAAAACTCATTACATACTATACTTTTTCTACAAGAATACTGTTGTCGCTTCCCTTACTTCATAAGGAGCAGCAATAACATTTTTCTACAAGTTTTTCCGTTATTTGACTGTGAAACTCTCTAATTTAGCGTTTAACGAACAAGAGCTAACCCTTAACAAGCCACAACTCGGTTCGTATTGGTCATACAGCAATTATTAAAAAACCATTTTCTTTGTTTTTGATTTTGTTCTCCACAGTTTTTTATAAAATGCATACTTACAGTTTTTCGGGAGTAACCCAATAAAAACATTCATTTTGATCCGTAGGCTGCAAACGGTGGCCATGCGTCATTGATTTGTGAATCAATTTCAGACATACGCTAAAACGCTGTAACAACTATCAAATAGGCGAAATAGATTAAAAAAAACTTGTCTGAAATTGATTCACAAATCAATGACGCAGGGCCGAGGGACTCCTGATTTGAAGTGTGCGTATACTGGCCGCAATAAATACATGAACACCGTGTACTTTGATCACTTTTGACGAAAGTTTCAGGTGAATTGTCTTTATTTCGGCATAAGAAACGATGAAAATTTCAACATGATACAATTACAACTAATTCCTCCTGAACTAGATGGACCGGGGGTTTCAGAATCTTTCCGTAAACTATAAACTAACAAATTGGGAACGGAGCTCTTCGTCCCGTCCCGTAATTTATATTAATTTCTGCTCACCAACTCCACATTTTGCTTATTTAGTAATAAATAATAATAAAGACTGTTGAATGGGCTGAATGATGAGTTATTTTCAGTCTTTTCACATCGAGATCTTCCGTCTGAGAACTTACACAAATTTCAACCATTTTTAGCCATATTGGACTGCTTTTACGTTTCTTCGGATCAACCTGAAATTGACTCCATTTGTATCTTTTGCGATTCTTGCCCCTTTAAAATTCAGCATCTTGAAAAGGGGATTATCACACGATTAAATCTTTTATAATACTTACATTTTATAAAGTGTAGCGTTCCACATTATCCCTCGCCGTTACCATTTTTTGATATTCAATGCACAGGTAACTTACGTTTTCTTCACTAGGTAGTCGTATCAATTTATTGCTTAGATCCAGATGTACAATGTCAATTTAAACTTCAGTTTATAGTTACATTGTGGGTTACAGGATTTGATTGGCAAGTTGACCAATCGTGTTTCTGAAATCTGTCATTTAAACTAAACTGAAGTTTAAACTGACGTACAACCGGGCCTTAGATAGCTTTCCAAATATTGCCATTTGATACAAAATTGATTTAGTTTTTCACCGACAGTCGTTTCTGTTTATTACTGTCCACAACCATTCGTGTTGTTACTTATGAATACTTTCTGAATTACAACAGAAAAAGCTGTGGTTGGGTGTATTAGGTCTTCGAAAATATGCCGAAAAGCTTGTCCAGACAATAAACAATTTTGTTAATTTGTCTTCTCGTAGTAAAATATTAAATAATAATAGTAATTATTTATTCCCAAAATTTCGACAAGAGTATGGAGAGTAGAGACGTTTTAAAATTACTAAAATGAATAATTAAATTTTATTGTATACTTTTTAGTTGAATCATGCCTCGCTCGAGAACTTTAAAGTCAAAAGTTTATAAAATACCGTAATTTCTATAAGTAGTAATCTGAAAGCATGTATTCCCTAAAGTGAGTTTGTGGAGAATGGATCATTTTCTCGGATGCGCTTCAGTAAGTAAAAAGCGCAAATAATTTTAAAATGCCTAGTAGGCATACCATGTAAGCTCACCTCAGTTTGTCAACTTGAGCGAGAATCAAGCTAAAAAAAGCTCTTAGGGGTTGATGAACACATCTTGCTTACTTTAAATTAGGTTAAGTAGTTGTGAGTTTGAGCTGAATTCTGGTGTTGGGTGCTTGTAATATATACGAATAAGCCCGATGTAAAAGTACACTGTTTCTATAGTTAGCATTGACTGTGTGCAAACCCAATGTGTTGACATTTAAATACTTGAGATTGTCTCCAAAATATTAATGAAGTATTGTATTTCTGAAACTCTGGAATCATTTTACCTTTCGCTAACATTGATGTCCTAATTTAGTTCATGTTGT